ATTGGCTGTCCCATCTGCCTCCTGGTCATTCCCCCACTTAAATGGACCCTCGTATCCTTATTGGCTGTCCCATCTGCCTCCTGGTCATTCCCCCACTTAAATGGACCCTCGTATCCTTATTGGCTGTCCCATCTGCCTCCTGGTCATTCCCCCACTTAAATGGACCCTCGTATCCTTATTGGCTGTCCCATCTGCCTCCTGGTCATTCCCCCACTTAAATGGACCCTCGTATCCTTATTGGCTGTCCCATCAGCCTCCCTGTCAGGAGGCACTTTTAATGAAATGAGCTGATCGATCTGGGTTTCTGCCCAATCGTTTCTGAGGTTCAGTTCTGCATTTGGTTCTTCCTCTTGGTTCGGGCTGCTGAGGCCTTATCTTGTGCAAATCAGCAGCAGGAAAATAAGTCTGCGTGTGTCTGCAGGCATCAGCCGCATCTCAATGGTTTCGCTTTCCTCAGAATTTCTACAAGACAGAGCTGAACAAGGAGGAGATGTACATCCGCTACATCCACAAGCTGTACGACCTGCACCTGAAAGCGCAAAACTACACAGGTGAAGAGTTTGTGTGTATGTGCGTGAGAACGGGCCCTCCCATCGGCTCCGCCCCCACCCTAATGCAGAGCTGGGCCACATCTCCCCCCTCCCCCCCCCTCCAGAGGCTGCCTATACACTGCTGCTGTACGACGAGCTGCTGGAGTGGTCAGAGAGGCCGCTGCGTGAGTTCCTCAACTACCCCATGCAAACCGAATGGCAGCGCAAGGAAGCCATGCACCTCACCATCATACAGAACTTTGACCGTGGCAAGGTGGGTGGGGCTAGGCGCAGGCGGTGGGTGTGGCCAGGCTATGTAGGACACGCCCCCTCTGGCCTATTTCAGTAAGTTTAGCTTGCAGATATAGACTTTGCCTATTTATATGTGTGCTCATTTTAAATAAAGCAGTTCAGGTTAAGTGCTTTGCGTAGGTTTTTGAGAGCAGCACCCTGCCTGCCATCTTCTGATTATAAGTTCAGTTCTTTTAGTCATCCCTGCTAGCCTGTGACTTATACCACTGGGTGTCTGGAGTAGCCTGTGACTTATACCACTGGGTGTCTGNAGTAGCCTGTGACTTATACCACTGGGTGTCTGGAGTAGCCTGTGACTTATACCACTGGGTGTCTGGAGGCTAAAAGTCTCCCGACACCTTTTGATACGATAAAATTTGCAGAGCAGGGGGGTCCCCCACAATAAATTTCGCTGTCTGTTGGCTAGCACACCGCTAACGTTTGTCACGGCTTGGATGGGATGCCATTATGACAGACTAGTCATCCCACTGCCCCTCACAATCACTTGGTGACTTGGGGGGGGGTCCAACAGTTTGAATACCTCTAACTTACACAACCCAGTTGTTCTTCTAAGGAATATTTCTATCAGAGTCCAGATCATGGTAATACAGACCTCAAGCTGCATAGGACAATATCTGCAGGATGTTAGGAGATTCTCCCTATACGTCTATGGTTCCGCTACAAATTACATTCCACTACTGTAAGCCAGATAAAGTCCTTTGAGAAGTAGAGGAGTAGCTATGTCTATTTAGTGGCTGTCTGTCTCTCTGCCTTTTCTTTCTATGAATATTTAAAGCCGTCTGTGAGAGGTGCAGGTCTTGGAGTGCTAACATGAGGATGAAAAATCATGTTTAATCATCAAAACCGCCAGCCTCAGTTTTCGAGATGGATATTAGACTTATCATGTACTGCCACCTTGTGGTTGATCTGGTGTACTGCATCAACAACATTTCACAGGGAGGAGCTTAAAAAAGACGTGAATGAGATGGCAAAACACTTTAGTTTGTTTATGTTGTAAGCTGCTGTGCAGTTTGACTTATTATGTTCAAATGCATATCATTTGCAGTGCTGGGAGAATGGGATCATCCTGTGCAGAGAACTGGCAGACCAGTATGAGGCATATTATGATTACAGGAACCTGAGTAAAATGAGGGTGAGTCAATTCCCAGATGAACACCTACAAAGGATTGCCATTCACATATATAAAATATATACTGACATTAATGGTTCTACGGCTGTGGTAGTAATTTTTTGCACGAGTGATCATGAAATATGCATGAAGCTGATGCTGTTCAGTTTAAAAATAAGGTAACATTTTATAATAAGGCTCTCGTTTGCCACTTGTAAATGGTCGTAACTCATTAATACAGAAAAAAACTTTTGTAATTTGTAAATGAATGATTTACAAAGTCTTATAACCTAATTAATAATCTGATTATAATCCAATCATGAACCCTTTATAAGCGTAGTCTTATTGTAAAGTGGCACCAAAATTAAATTCACATTGCATTGAAAAGAGGGGGGCATAGTAGGAGCCACATCTCATGCAGAGGGGCTGGCATTATCAGTAGCCAGTGATCAGTGTTGGAGTGTAGCTAACTAGAATTGGCGAATTGGAATTACTATCTTAACTACTTTTTTCAGTAGCTTATCGGTATTGCAGCTACTTTTAAAATGATGTAGCTTTTCCATTAACTATTTCTTGGATAAACGTAGCCCGGCAAAACGATACATCGTTAAAAAATACTACTTACGAAATATGCAACTTTACGAGGGCGCAGATATGTGGCCGTACGAGTGCGGCCCCGTGTGAGCGTATGACAGTTTCCGCCCCGACTGTGGAGGTGCGAGTATCCCCGCGAGACGCCCATTCATTCATGTCAGAAGTCGACAACAACCTGTATTATTTTTCTCTCTTTACAAAGACAGGTATTTTCAACTACTAGGTGTTTCTGATTGTTTTTTTTTGCCTGAATACTCTGATGATGGATGTTAAAGGTTTGAGAATTACTTAATGGCAGACAATATTTTACAAATACGCACTTTGGCTCTTGGACAGATTATCAAAATCTCTTTTTTTTGCTGTAAGCCTTCTAATTTTCACACAGCATTTGTGAAGTATCTTGGTTTATGCCAAAGATAGATACTTTTTGAAATCTTATTGTGATTTGACATTACATTGTTAAAAATATAGATTTTCATTTCAACGTTTAACATCACGTTTCAAATTTTTTATTAATTTACTTTAAGAGTATCCTACAAAACAATTAAGTATTACTGGAGGAAAGCTACTTTTTCTCTCTAGCCTGTAGTGTAGCTACCTACTGTATTAAAACAGTAGCTTAACTGTAGCTTAGCTACTCTTAATCACAAGTAGCTTGTAGCTTAAAAAGCTACCGTTTGAATGTAGCTTCTCCAAAACTGCCAATGATATATTTTGATGAGTGACAGGGGAGGGGGCACACTGAGGGCCAATCAGCTTTCAGCGGGGGCCAGTGCCCCTGTGGCCTTTATTTGACCATTTGTTATGTTGTTATGCATTGTACTGTTTGTAAAGGTGGGTGTGACTGGCTGAGTAAAGTGCCTTTTTTTGGTGGTTTTCAGCCATGGGGGGTCGCTGTTATGCCCCCTGTGACACACTGCATGCCTCACTACCTCCTGTCTCTCCTCTCTTTAATCCGGCAGATAATGGAGGCATCTTTGTACGACAAGATCATGGGCCAGCAGCGGCTGGAGCCAGAGTTCTTCAGAGTCGGCTTCTACGGAAAGAAGTTCCCCTTCTTCCTCCGGGTGGGAAGGGGCTGCATTAGCACAGATTAGTGAGCGCTCTGCGCATAAGGATAGATGCTGCAATTAGTGTTTGCGTAAAGATTAGTGCACAGATTAGTGAGCGCTCCGCGCATAAGGATAGATGCTGCAGTTAGCGTTAGCATCAAGATTAGTGCACAGATTAGTGAGCGCTCCGCGCATAAGGATAGATGCTGCAGTTAGCGTTAGCATCAAGATGAGTGCACAGATTAGTGAGCGCTCTGCGCATAAGGATAGATGCTGCAGTTAGCGTTAGCGTCAAGATGAGTGCACAGATTAGTGAGCGCTCTGCGCATAAGGATAGATGCTGCAGTTAGCGTTAGTGTCAAGATGAGTGCTTGGATTAGTGAGCACTCTGCACATAAGGATAGATGCTGCAGTTAGTGTTAGCGTAAAGATTAGTGCACAGATTAGTGAGCGCTCTGCGCATAAGAATAGATGCTGCAGTTAGTGTTAGCGTAATGATTAGTGCACAGATTAATGAGCGCTCTGCGCATAAGGATAGATGCTGCAGTTAGCGTTAACTTCAAGATGAGTGCACAGACTAGTGAGCGCTCTGTGCATAAGGATAGATGCTGCAGTTAGTGTCAAGATGAGTGCACAGATTAGTGAGCACTGCACATAACACAGTTGCCAACTTTTCAATTCGAGACAAGTTTGCACACACATTTACATTTATGTAAGAATTTTATTATCTTGTAAATAGTCTGTAGGGTTTGCAAACTACCCTAATGCTCTTGGTGTAGCTAATTTTAGGTTTAGAATGGAATAATACAGATTTGCCGTAAGATTTCTTGCATGAGTATGAGAGTC